GAGAGTGAATGGTTGTTTGTCTCGTTTGTCTCTATGTGTCCCTGTGATGGACTGGAGACCTGTCCAGGGTGTCCCCCACCTCTCACACAGTAACTGCTGGATATGGACACCCGTGACCCTAAAAGGAAGAAGCGGGTAAAAATAATGGATGGATGGATGCAGTGGTGTAGTCAACATTTTTGTACTGGGTATACTGTGCTTAGAAGCCAAAGTACACTGGTTAGTACAATGTAATCATCAATTTATTTTGATTTTTATTGAACATTTCCAAATTTCTCTGATGCTTCTATTTGAATCAATGAACAACAAACTTTGCACAACAGTTGGCTTTGTATTAAAAACATAGAAATTATAAAAACTGTATCAAAGCAAAACATGTTCAAGTATTAAGTAGTAAATACAGAAGTTTTTATTATACAAAAAACATGTTGAACCAACTCATTGTGTCTATAAACGTTCCCAATGTGTTGACAATGACATAAGCATATGTCACGTATCACTGCCAATGATACGTGACATATGCTTATGTCATTGGGCACTTGTAAGTGGGTCTACTGAAATTCCCAAGTTTTTTTAGTGGATATACTCCGTATGCCTGTATATCATGTAGAATACACCACTGGATGGATGGATGGATGGATGGATATGTTGGCAGAAACAGATGATGAGTAGCTGAATAGTAATAATGGTGCTTCAGTGCTGATGCTTTGATGCTTTGGCAGCAGGAGGGAAATGAATACATCTAACAAGGTAGAGTCAGGTCGTCTGGATGGATTCTTCTGGTTGAAACGTTTCATCTTTTATCCAAAAGACTTCTTCAGTCTGAGGAGCTGCAACAAACTCAGTCTTATAAATAGCACCTTCTCATAGTGTTAGTGGCCTGATGGTTCCTTGCTATTCACAGAGGTCTGACTGATGCTAGCAACAACAGCATTGTAACTCCAACAACTCCAGCATGGAGTTGAATACAGTCGTTCAGTTGCATGTGAATTTTCAAAGGGTACGCAGGTTTTAAATCGAAGCAAGAAAAAGTCATACGTTGGGATGATAATTCGCTAAAGAGACAGCCGAATGGGGACGGCTGTGATATGTGTCAGAGAACCTTATAAAATAATGACGGGGAGAGAAAAAAATCCTGTTAGTGATTCAGCAACAACAGCACAGATTTAATCAAAGCTGCGAGTTCGTCTGATGAGCCGTTGATTAATGGAGCCTGAAACCAGGTCAGACTGTCTCTCTGTGCGCCTCTACAGACACCGAACAAACGTGACTGTCAGTGACTAACGTTAGAAATGACACCTATTTAAATATCAGTTGCTGCGTCAGAAAGCTCCTGTAGGAGCAGGTAACAAATGTCTGAATGTGTGCAGCTTCATGCAGCCTTCTGTTCTTTCTGAAGCAGAGAGAGCAGCAGGACGTTTTATGTGCTCTCGCAGCAGCAGCTGCTCCATTACTCCAGCCCCCAGAGACAGAGCACCGCACTGATGCAATGGTTTCAGTTGTGTGCAGCTCTAATACAGGTTGTATAATGCATGAGGGGATGTAGGACAGCGGCAAGAAAAGTTTCCTGGAGCGATTAAAAAAAGAGCTTGCTGTTAGCAGCTCTGTATGGCAAGCTAGCACGGCTAAGTCCATGTCTAGCTGATTAAAATAACTACATCCATCCATCCATCCATCCATCCATCCATTCATCCATCCATCCATTCATCCATTCATCCATTCATCCATCCATTCATCCATCCATTCATCCATTCATCCATCCATCCATTCATCCATTCATCCATCCATTCATCCATCCATCCATCCATCCAGCCTTTTTACCCGCTTATTCCATTTTGGGTCACGGGGGTCGCTGGTGCCCATGTGCAGCAGTCACTGTGTGAGGGGCGGGGTACACCCTGGACGGGTCACAAGTCCATCACAGGGCCACATAGAGACAAACGAGACAAACAACCATTCACTCTCTCACTCACACCTAGGGACAGTTTAGACTTACCAGTCAGCCTAACATGCATGTTTTTGGTCTGTGGGAGGAAACCGGAGTACCCGGAGAAAACCCACGCATGCATGGAGAGAACATGCAAACTCCACCCAGAAGGCCCCTGGACCGGGGTTTGAACCAAGGACCTGCTCGCTGAGAGGCAGCAGCTCTACCAGTTGCGCCACCGTGCTGCCCGACTTCCCTAAAATTTCAAATGGGGTTCACAAACTAACAGCTAGTCCAAGACCAGTGTGGATCATTGCAGTGTTAAACAACTGAAACTTAAAATTTTAAATCCGTGCAAACTCTATACATTTTTACGCAGGCTGTTTGTGTTACGTTTCTTGTGTTTGGAACCCATGTGCAGGCCGGACTCAGAGAACTCGGGATTTAAAGTAGAAATATATATTTAATAAAGAAAAAATAAAGCTGCCATGCTGCAAACTACATGGTCTCAGGGATGACACGGAGGAAGACATAACCATAACGTCAAACAAGACAATGCCCAGACAATAAGGAACACAGAGACTTGTATACACACACTAATGGACAGACAACAACAAACACCTGGGGAAGGACAACAGGTGGTGGAGGCAGGAGCTGGTTACATGAGGGAGGACACTGAGGAGAGCAGGTCAGACCACAAGAGGGAGACACACACTAGAAAACACACATCCTCACAGTTAGTTCGAGTTGTCATAATTTGCAAGGACTTCTGCCGTTATTTATGTCAGACTCTACAGCAGCAGCTAGTTGCAGCAGTTTATTTTTGTGCACTTTGGGACATATCAGCAGGAATTCCATCATATTTCTACTGGAATAATTGTCAAGCCATCCATTACCGTATTTTCTGCCGTACACGTCGCACTTCCATATAAGTTGCATCAGTCCAAAAATGTCTAATAAAGTGGAAAAAAATAAATAAGTCACTTTGCCGTATAAGTCACATCTATAATGTGTCACCACTGACCACCCAGAAACATGGGCCGGTGTTGTGCCAAAAATTGATTGGCTGCCAAAATGGTGGCCGCGAGAGTGCCCACGGGAGGACTTTAACAAGGATATAACAAGATTAACACTTAAAAACAATTATTTGTTTGCTCAAAATTATAGCAAAGGTGTGTCTCAGTTTAACTCTTCCTTAATAAATGCACTTTGATGGTCAAATCAGCTGCATTTCTCCTGGGTGACAGGGCAAAATGCAGCTGATTTGACGTTTGCACCTGGAGTTCCAGAACGAGACAAAGCTGGTTTGTATGGCAAGCCAAGTATCTCACTAATACCCACTTTTATTTATTAATGAGACTCTTGGCTTGCCATAAGGCTCGAGGAGACTCTTGGCTTGCCATAAGGCTCGAGGACCCTCTAGTGGCTGGAAATGGTAGTGTTCAATATTTTTCATGTCTGAATGAATGAAATCAACAGATCTCAGGTAAACATTGGGCTATAAATATGGGGGGGGGGACGTATATTAGTTGTTAAGTATAAGTTGCAGGACTTGCAAATTTATGCAAAAAGGTAGGACCTATACGGCAAAACATACGGTAATTTCCCCCCTCTTCTATCTTTTCGGATCACAAAATTCTCTGCAACTCATGCATAGGAACTGAAAACCACAGGACGCATCGCAGGACTAACTAAACGAGATACTACCTTCAGCTTTCCTAAAGAAAAAATCCTCTTTTGGTCATAAAATTGGTCCAAGAGATAAGAAAAGTTAACATTAAAGTTATATTTTCATGTGCTTTAATAATGTCTTTTTTTTCTTCATTACAGCTAGAAGCAATACAGAAACACTCCTGGTACCTGTAAGTACAAAATGTGTATTTGGATTGCTTGATTTTCTGATTTACTTTGCTGTTTTGTTTGTTTTCTACCCATGACATTATACCATAACTCGCTTTTTGATAGTTTATTAGTGCCTGAAAACAATAAGAGCACTTAGAAAGATGATTTAGTTATTTTAACTTCCTCTAATTTAAAACAAATCTAAGCTAAACCTGGTTTAAAGCTGCTTGCACCAGTGCGTCCATATGTTAACGCCTGTGTAGATGCTGTGCTTGTACTTAAGTAACGTGGATCAAACAAACATCAGGTAGAATAACCTGAGGCAGGTGAGTCAAGCCTGTGATCTATTTTAGGCACTTCTCTTTCAGCTTCCTGATATAATAGTGACAGAACTGAGACAGAAAAAGACAAAAGGTAGCTCTCATTCAGATATGAAGGTTGTAACTCCAAACTAAGCTTTTTATTCAGTGATTTGTCTTTTTTGTTTTAGTAGAGTTTAAGATCATTTTTAATGTGTCATTCTAAGTTGGACTCTTGGTAACTAAGTAAATAATTGGATTTGGTTCAATCTTTTTTGACATAATCAACATTATTGCTAAAATGACATGAAAGTCCTGATGTAAGCTGAATCATCCAGGTAAACAAATCACAAAAAAAGTTAAAACAGGTCATCTGGACAGATTCTTTTGGTTGAAACATTTAGTCTTTCATCTGAAAGACTTTATCAGTCTGAGGCATGCCAACAAACTCTGTTGTATCAATAGTACCTTTTCAAAGTGACAACAAACACATTGTAATTACGACTTCCTTCCCTCCATTGATTACGGTGACATTATTTACATGGACGCTCCTACAAGAACCCTGCAGATGTTGGATGCTGTCTATCATGGTGCACTAAGATTCAGAACTGGCTGTGATTATCGTACCCACCACTGCACCCTGTATTCACTGGTTAACTGGACATCATTAACTTCACGCAGACTCTCTCACTGGTACATTTTCATCTTTAAATCACTTCTTGGTCTGCTGCCTTCATACATCTCCTCCTACATGTCTCTGTGTGAGTGCAGCTACAGCGTGCGCTCTCAGGACATTATTACCTGCAGTGTTCCCTCAGTGAGGACTGAACTAGGCAAAAGGGCCTTCTCCTACTTCGCTCCTGTTTCCTGGAATATCTTGCAAAAAGATCTGAAGCTCTCGACCTTTGACCTCTCTATGTGGCTTTAAAGCTCTATTGAGTTCCTGAGAAAAACCAACGCAGACATGTTCCTGTTTTTAGTTTTCTACATCGCCTTACAATGTAGCTCTTTTTGTTTTGTTTTTTAATACCATTTTCTTTCATTTATTCTTCTCAGTGTATACAGGTCCTTCTCAAAAAATTAGCATATTGTGATAAAGGTCATTATTTTTCATAATGTAATGATAAAAATGAAACTTTCATATATTTCAGATTCATTGCACACCAACTGAAATATTTCAGGTCTTTAATTGTTTTAATACTGATGATTATGGCATACAGCTCATGAAAACCCAAAATGCCTGTCCCAAAAAATTAGCATATCATGAAAAGGTTGTCTAAACAAGCTATTAACCTAACCATCTGAATCAACGACGTAACTCTAAACACCTGCAAAAGATTCCTGAGGCTTTTAAAAACTCCCAGCCTTGTTCATTACTCAAAACCGCAATCATGGGTAAGACTGCCGACCTGACTGCTGTCCAGAAGACCATCATTGACACCCTCAAGCAAGAGGGTAAGACACAGAAAGAAATTGCTGAACGAATAGGCTGTTCCCAGAGTGCTGTATCAAGGCACCTCAGTGGGAAGTCTGTGGGAAGGGAAAAGTGTGGCAGAAAACGCTGAACAACGAGAAGAGGTGACCGGACCCTGAGGAGGATTGTGGAGAAGGGCCGATTCCAGACCTTGGGGGACCTGCGGAAGCAGTGGACTGAGTCTGGAGTAGAAACATCCAGAGCCACCGTGCACAGGCGTGTGCAGGAAATGGGCTACAGGTGCCGCATTCCCCAGGTCAAGCCACTTTTGAACAAGAGACTGCGTCAGAAGCATCTCACCTGGGACTGCTGCTGAGTGGTCCAAAGTTATGTTCTCTGATTACAGTGAATTTTGCATTTCCTTTGGAAATCAAGGTCCCAGAGTCTGGAGGAAGAGAGGAGACACAGAATTCACATTGCTTGAGGTCCAGTGTCAAGTTTCCACAGTCACTGGGTTGCCATGTCATCTGCTGGTGTTGGTCCACTGTGTTTTATCAAGGGCAGGGTCAATGCAGCTAGCTATCAGGAGATTTTGGAGCACTTCATGCTTCCATCTGCTGAAAAGCTTTATGGAGATGAAGATTTCATTTTTCAGCACGACCTGGCACCTGCTCACAGTGCCAAAACCACTGGTAAATGGTTTACTGACCATGGTATTACTGTGCTCAATTGGCCTGCCAACTCTCCTGACCTGAACCCCATAGAGAACCTGTGGGATATTGTGAAGAGAAAGTTGAGAGACGCAAGACCCAACACTCTGGATGAGCTTAAGGCCACTATCGAAGCATCCTGGGCCTCCATAACACCTCAGCAGTGCCACAGGCTGATTGCCTCCATGCCACGCTGCATTGAAGCAGTCATTCATGCAAAAGGATTCCCGACCAAGTATTGAGTGCATAACTGAACATGATTATTTGAAGGTTGGCGTTTTTTGTATTAAAAACACTTGTCTTTCATTGGTGGGATGAAATATGCTAATTTTTTGGGACAGGCATTTTGGGTTTTCATGAGCTGTATGCCATAATCATCAGTATTAAAACAATTAAAGACCTGAAATATTTCAGTTGGTGTGCAATGAATCTGAAATATATGAAAGTTTCATTTTTATCATTACATTATGGAAAATAATGACCTTCATCACAATATGCTAATTTTTTTAGAAGGACCTGTATGCTTTCTTTTATGATTGTCTACTGTTGTCATCACTCTGTTAAAATCAGGTCTCTCTTGTAAATGAGTCCCCGAGGCTCAATGAGACTAAAGTTGAATGAAAAAAACAAGTGGTTCAAGCCAGACTCCTGTGGAATTCCAGAAAATAGCTTTCCACATGTGAAAAGGGGACCATCAGTCTAGTTTCAGGAATTCCACAGCAGACTGGTTTGAACCAGTTTGAAAAGGTACTATTGATACGACAGAGTTTGTTGGCAGACCTCAGACTGATGAAGTCTTTCAGATGAAATACAAAACGTTTCAACTAGAATCAGTCTAAATGACCCGTTTTAACTTTTTTGTAAACTGACATCTACTACATTATCAATAAACTTGCCTCAAAAATAAAGAAATTTGTGTTTGGTAATTTTTTTTTCTTTGTTTAATTTATTTCCAAGGCTTCTCTTTGCATACTTTTAGAAAACCTTCTTTATCTTAAATGGTGCCTCGTTTGTTAGGAACATGCATTTGTGGATTGAGCAGCAGAGTTGAATTTGTGAGTTGTGCACATGAAAAACTTGACACATTTTTCCTGCTAATTCCAAACAGCTTCTTCTGCTGTTGACTTGTTTGACTTAGTTTATTGGATTGGCTGTCTGAAGTCTGAAGAAACAAAACATATTGGCAGTTTTAAACAATTTCTTCATTTATTAAACAGGTGCCTCAGTTGCATGTGGAAGACCCATACACAGCCACAACAGCCTGGAACCTCTTCCTAATTCTGCTCACTACCTCAGTCACACACTGCAGTGAATGGCTGATGGCTGACGGCATCCCATTGTCAACTAGTTTTTGTTTCACAGTCAGCAAATGTTGTCTTGGTCCCTCAGGAACAAACCGCACTCAGTCTGATTGTACAGGTGTTCTGTGTAGTTGGGGACTGCTGAGTCTTGCTCTTCTATCAACTTTAAAGCGGCCCGAATCACAATGTAATATCAAAACGACCGGCTCGGCACTGTTAGGTGTGCTATTACTTTTATTGGCATTTTGAGTTACCATGGCAACATAATTTACAAAGACGTCTTTTTTCTCATTGAAAAACACTGACAGAACTCTTTTTCTCATTCAACCTCTATTTATACAGGTTAGTCTCATTGAGCCTCGGGGACTCATTTACAAGAGAGACCTGAATTTTAACAAAGGGTGATGGCAACAGTGGACAATCATAAAGGATGCGCACAAATTTTATTTTTTTAAAACAAATGAAAATAAAATGATAATTAAAAGGAAAAGTAGCGAAAAAACAGCTACATTGTAAGGCGATATAGAAAACTAAAAACAGGAACATGTCTGGTTTTTGCCAGGAATTTAACAGATGTTTAAAGTCACTTAGAGAGGTCAAGGTCGAGAGCTTCAGATCTATTTGCAAAACATTCCAGGAAACAGGAGCGAAGTAGGAGAAGGCCCTTTTGCCTAGTTCAGTCCTCACTGAGGGAACACTGCAAGTAATAATGCCCTGAGAGTGCACGCTGTAGCTGCACTCATGCAGAGACATGTAGGAGGAGATGTATGAAGGCAGCAGACCAAGAAGTGATTTAAAGATGAAAATGTACCAGTGAGAGAGTCTGCGTGAGGTTGATGATGTCCAGTTAACCAGTGAATACAGGGTGCAGTGGTGGGTACGATAATCACAGCCAGTTATGAATCTTAGTGCACCATGATAGACAGCATCCAACATCTGCAGGGTTCTTGTAGGAGCGTTCATGTAAATAATGTCACCGTAATCAATAGAGGGAAGAAAAGTCACAGTTACAAGGTGTTTCTTAGCATTCAGAGTTAGACAGGATCTGTTTCTGAAAAATAAACTTTCAGTTTCTTTACCAAGTTTTCAACATGAGGCTTAAAAGAGAGATGTGAATCAGCCAAAACATTTATTTACATTTATTAAGTATTTATACGAATCAACAAACTCAATAGGAACACCATTTGTACTTAAAATAAAAGGAAGAACTGCTGGTACTGAATTCCTATTTGAAAGCAACATCCCTTTGGTTTTATCAGCATTTAACACCAGTTTGAGATGGAACAAATCTGACTGGATGGTGTCAAAGGCAGATTGCAAAAGCTGGAAAACCTCAACTGTTCTAGCTTGACAATAAACAACTGAGTCATCAGCATAGAAATGTATGGATGCATCAGGAATCATCTGACCTACATTACTTACTGTATGTAGATTGTGAAGAGGGTGGGTCCTAAGACTGGGCCTTGTGGTACACCGTTGTTAACAGTTAGATAACTGGAAGAAGTAACATTTTGTTGAACATATTGCCTCTGATCTAATAGAGAGAACCAGCCAATAGTGTGATTTGAGAAACCAATTTCTGAGAGCTTATGTCATAAGATGCCATGATCCACAGTGTCAAAAGCTTTAGACAGGTCTAAGTGCAGCACAATAATCCTTAGCATCCAATGCTATGAAACTATGCTATGAAACTGCTTTAAAAAAGGTGTGTGACAACATCATTAAAAACCTTCAGTGAAGCAATCATTGTGCTGTGTTGTTTCCTGAAACCAGATTGATGGAGAGATAAGATGTTAAATGAATCCAAATACTTCTTGACTTGAAAGTTGATCAGTTTTATCAGCTCAGTCTTTCTTTGAGATATTGAGCTGAAATTTGGTATGGTCATAGCTGAGAGCAAGTTGTTGTACAAATGCAAATCAAATATTCAAGATGGCCACCTTAGCTTAAACTGGACAAATACAATAACTCAGCTATTTTAAAAGTTATTGTGCTGAAATTTTGTGTGGTGGTACCTGACAGTAACACACAACAGATTCTGAATTTAAATCTAAAAATTTTAAATGGCTGCCAAAGCTAATTTCAAATGGATATAACAGAGGTTTTTAGAGCTATTCAGCTGAAATGTGGTGTTTTGATAGCTGACAACAATCCCTGATAGACTGAATCCAATTCAAAAATCCAAGATGGCCGCCTGAGCTAAAAAGAAAAAAAATATTATAAATCAGCCATTTTTAGAGATATTAAGTTGAAATTTGGTGCGGTGGTAGCTGAGAGCAATGCCCAATAAATAATGAATTCAAATAAAAATCCAAGATGGCCACCAAAGTTACATTTAATTGGCTTTAACTCAACTATTTTTACACATAGAGTTGAAATTTAGTGAGGTTATAGCTGAGAACATTTCTCATCACATACTGAATCCAAATAAAACTCAAGATGGCCACCATAGCTTAAAAGAAAAAATATTATAACTCAATTGTTTTTTTTTTACCATTTTGAGCTGGAATTTGGTGTATTGCTAGCTGAGAGAGAACCCCAACACATAGTACTGTCAAATCAAAAATTTAAAATGGCCCCAACATGGCAGTTTCTCCAGCAACTTTAGTTCAAGTTAGAGCCACATCCAAATTCTGGAGGTAGTCACTAATAAATCTTGCTCTGTGTGGGTAATCATTGTCATCTTGGAGGATAAAGTTTGGTCACAAACTATGCAGATGTGGGATTACCTCCGGATGTTCACAGGTGCTGACAATAAAAAAAAACATACTGCTGCTCAACCCACAAATATTTTTTCCTAATAATTGTCACAACATTTAAGGGGAAACTAAATAGGCTTCCCTACAGTATAAAATGTATTGCTAATAAATATTGTTAGAGGAAATAAACACAAATATCACAAATTTTTGTGCTATGTCTAAACAACAGGTAAGCACTGCTAGGTGGTGCTTGTTGTGGGTACCTCAGATTATTAAAGTGTTAAATGCATCAAAAACTCACTGGAGTATATTTTTGTCCTCACTCCAACAAAAATGGAGTGAAACAAACATTTATTTTATTTTTTTCCTATTTTTCTACGTTTAAATTACATATTGTCATGACGATCTCATGCCAGGTCGGCCCTTATATTCTTGTCACTTCATCTTAAAAGCACAAGATGTGTCTAATAACGGTTGTCTTTTTCTTGTCAGGGGCGGTCGCAATGAGCCTTGCCCAGAGCAGCCTCCTCCTCGTCGGGTGTGTGTAACAAGGATCCTGTCCCTGTCGGACCTAGACCCAGATGTCCTAGAAAGCATGTACTCTTTAGGGTGCTTCAGGGATCGGGTTAAACTCACACAGGACCTTACAAGTGAGGAGTAAGTACAAGCAATCCATTCAACACTTCCCATATGACTTGAAAAGCAACTATGACAGAATATGTGAAAATGTAGGGTCCAAACATAGTTGAAGCATTTGAAATCTGGTTACAGTAACTATATCACAAATGAAAGAATCCAAAACTTTGTGCACGCTATCTACTGTCTATGATTTTTGTAAAACCATGAAGTTCACTAGCTAAAGGCCAGGATACAGTAGCTTGCATGAAACCTGGGAAAGCAATGGGTAAGCATGTGTTTGTAGTATTTTATCTTTGTCTTGTTCTCATTGCCTCGTTTGTTTCTTTATGGCCTTCCATTTACCGACACTTTTACCTGCCCGACTTAGCAGAAACAAGAGTACCTGTCTGTTAGAATATAAATATAAGTGCCATCTGTTGTCATCAATGTATGTTCCCATTCAATGATGAAATTAGTTCTCTGCATTTAACCCATCTCACGTGAGATACACCCAGGTGGAGCAGTGGGCAGCTATGTAAGCACCTGGGGAGCAATTAGGGATTAGGTGTCTTGCTCAAGGACAGCATGACATGTGCGCATGGTGGGGAGTCGAACTGCGACTTCTTGGTCCTAAGTCGGCTGCCCTACCTCTACGCCATCTCGGCCCTACTGATGATAGGTTGTCATGACAGTAATCCTGCTCAGTACGAGAGGAACTGCAGGTTCAGACATTTGGTGCATGTGCTTGGCTGAGGAGCCAATGGGGTTAAGCTACCATCTGTGGGATTATGACTGAACGCCTCTAATACCCCTGTTCCATAGCACCTACTCAGAACGGTTCGACTCGGCTCGGTACGGTTCCGAGGCTTTTTCCACTAGCAATTATTCATGGACCAGGGCAGCATGGTGGTGCAACTGGTAGAGCTGCTGCCTCTCAGCGAGCAGGTCCCTGGTTTAAATCCCGGTCCGGGGGCCTTTCTGGGTGGAGTTTGCATGTTCTCTCCGTGTATGTGTGGGTTTTCTCCGGGTACTCCGGTTTCCTCTCACAGACCAAAAACATGCATGTTAGGCTGATTGGTAACTCTAAATTGTCCCTAGGTGTGAGTGAGAGAGTGAGTGTTTGTTTGTCTCTGTGTGTCCCTGTGATGGACTGGAGACCCATCCAGGGAGTCCCCCGCCCCTCGCACAGTGATTGCTGGACATGGGCACCGGCGACCCCCGTGACCCAAAATGGAATAAGCGGGTAAAGATAATGGATGGATGAATTATTCATGGAACCGGCCCCTTTTTCAGTCTCAATTTCTCTGTGGTTCCGACCGTGCTGACCTGGTACCAAAACGTGCCATCAGAACACTGTCGGTCACTGATTGGTCAGGGGGAGGAGTCACTGGCTGTTTGAGAAACTTTCAAAACAACCCGATCTGCCATCCTGATGCATGCTCAATAATCCAGGTAGAAACCCGATCTGCCGTTTGCAATAACACGAACTGGGCCTATTTTTAAGATTTTATAAACAATGATTGACAACACCGTGGTCTAATGCTGAAGTGCAGCTGTTTTTTGTGCTTGGTGACTGATGATAAAATACAAAACGAGCTAGATGGAGCTCCGCCGGTCCTTCCAGTCCTCTCCACCAGAGTCTTGGAGCCCCTTCAGGCCATGCAAGGCGTCACCTCCCCAGCTCCGAGCTCCACTGGCCACCGGTGCTCGAGCTTCAGGCCCTGGCCTCACGTGCTCCAAGCTCCACTGGCAACAGTGAAGGGATCTCCGAGCTGCCGACCCATGGGAGCGCGCAAGGCCGAGGCCTGGATCTCGAGCCCCGGTCACGCGGGCCAGCAGCTCGGAGGTCCCCTTCACAGTTGCCAGTGGTATTAGGAGCACGCAGGAGCACGTGAGGCCGGGGCCCGGCAGGCTGGGGCCAACTGGGACGGAGGTGGAAACGATTTTTAAAAACATTTTTTGTATTTAAAAAAATGCATTTTGTAAAATCAGTGAAGAATAATAAATACAAGCCCAAGCCCTAAGCCTGGCCCCAAGCCTGGCCCCACCTGACCCAAATTCGGGGCAGGGCAGGCCATGATAATGTGTTGGATGGGCAGGCCAGGTCGGTGTCGGACTCTAAATTAGGTCAGGATCAGCCGTGATCCAATTATATGATAACATGGCCTGCCATACATTCACCAGCCGCACGCGACCATTTCACTGTGAGCTGACCGGCCTTGAAAGAAGTAAAAAGTTCCGTTAAGCTTCAGATGGACTACACTGCCAGGAGGTGATCCATCGCCCAAATGGACGTTCATTCAGCTGCTGCACTCCGCAGACGCGCACGGCCGATGACCCAAACAGGTGAGATCCCAAAGCAGACGTTTCAGAGCAGGGTCCGTGTCTGAATAAATCATAATGCAGCAGAAACAGGGTTTAATGCTCTTTTACGGCCATGAAATGACAAACACCTCTCAGCTCCGATCTTATGCCCCTTCCCCAACCGTTAATAACTAATTTAAAATGTCGGGGCGGGGGGGGGGGGGGTCCGGGTTCGGACCTGTAATTACTGTTTATTCGTCGGGTGGGGTTCGGAAATTATGACTGCGGGCTGGGGCCAGGTCAGATTAGATTTTTTGGACCCGAATGCAACTCTAGGTCCAGGTATGGTTCCACCACTGATCTGACGTGCTTCAGGACCAGCCTCTCCAGTGACTTCATGGCATGTGATGTCAAGGCCACAGGTCTGTAGTCACTGTGTGAGATTGGGTGGTTGTTTTTCGGCACTGGGACCAGGCATCTTATTTTCCACAGAGCAGGGACCACAGGCTCAGGCTCAGGTGAAAAATGGGCCGAAAAACATCACACAGCTGAGCTGCACATCCTTTCAGAAGTTTTGAACTCAATCCATCTGGGACCTGCAGACTTGCCTGGACGTAGATGGCTGAGCTCCATTCTCACAGTCTCCCTGCTGATGGTGATTGCAGGCTCTGATTTGTTGTGAAATGAAAATGATGGTGGAGGGGGAGGGGTGTTGGGTGGAGGGGGTTGAAGCTGGGGTCCATGGTGTTGATGAGGAGGAGGGGTGGAGTTGTCCACGAGGTGTGATGACTCCCAGAGATGTGTTTGAGGTGTGTGTGAGCAGTGTCCACAACATCAAACCTATTAAAATCTGGTTTAATGTTGGCCTCCTGTGTGTCTCCTCCCATCACTGCTGCAGTATTTGTCACCTGACCAGTGATGCTTCTTATCCCATTCCACGCCTCTCTGGCATTGGTTTGGGCCGGTTTGCTCTCCAGCTTCCTCCCATACTGCTCCTTACCCTCCCTGGTCTTGTCCCTCACCTCAGTCTGCGCTCTCCTCATCTCCTCCCTGTCCCCCCCTCCTGAAGGCAGCCTTCTTCCTCTTCAGAGATGCCTTGAGGTCCTTGGTGACCCACAGTTTATTGTTGGGAAAGCAGTAAACTGATTTTATAGGGGTTATATTATCCATGCAGAAGTTAACATGATCTTTAACACAGTCCGTGAATGTGTGAATGTAATGCCCATGTGCGTCACAGAAAACATCCCAGTCATTTGCCTCAAAGCAGCCCTGCAGGGTCTCCATAGCCTCCTCTGGCCACCTCCGTACAGTTCACGTGGTCACTGGCTGCCGCTGGACTGCAGGGATGTACTGGGACTTGAGGTAAACAAAGTTGTGGTTTTAGGGAGGTTGAAAATTGTTACCCCATGTGGTTGCTACAGATCCACTTGTTTCCCTTTTCACAAAACGGATCAACAGCCTCATCTACCAACCTAGAAAGGCTGTCCACAACATTCACAAAGTGCACATGGAAGGGTCCGTTACAGTGTACCAGCCCAACAACAAATACAACAATATCTCCTCAGGATGACTCTCATTCACACTGGTGTTTTCTGTCTTCTGCTCCTTACCTTTTGGAATCGTGTTTTTTTAACACTCATTTTGTTTTTTTCCATTCCATGTACTTCAGAGATAACCAGGAAAAAATGATCTACTACCTCCTGTTGGACAGGAAAGAGCGATACCCCAGCTGTGAAGATGAGGACCTACCACCCAGAAATGACCTTGGTGAGGGGGAGGTTGCTCTTTATAGTTTTGAGAACCAGAAGCTAAGTCCTGTCATCAAATGATTGTGTTAGTCATTGTAGTTTTATTTACCACAGCAACAGGAATTTCATATTTACGAGACTTTGATTCAGTTTCTTTGGTTTCAGCTGTAATTCATTTATGTATTTATTGTTGGTCTTCTAAGACCCACCCAGGAAACGTGTGGACTCTCCTATGTTGACAAGGCACGGTCGCTGTCGTCCAGAGAGAAAGAGCTTGGAGGTCCTCAGTGTCACAGATCAAGGGTCCCCCACCCCACCTCGCAGGGCTTTGGACAGCAACGCACACAGCCAAAGGTACAAACTGGTTAAAGGTTGTTAATATCATAATTTCCTGTCAAAATAAAAGGTTATCCGTTGACCAGATTAGCTTTACAGACAGCAGACATGGTTTTATTGATTCAACTCCAGGTCCTTTTCATGTAGATGACTCTTTGCTCTTTTCCAAAGGTCTCGCTCAGTCAGTGGAGCTTCTACAGGTCTGTCCTCCAGTCCACTCAGCAGTCCCAGGGTAAGGACACTCCACTGTGTCCTGTTCTTTTATGCTGTCTTGTAAATCGGACACTTTCTGCCTGATATCCAGCTAGCATGCATGACCTACTTTAAAGTGTGCTGCTCTGCACTTTAGATAGAATAATTTAAACACTTTAGACCACGTGTCTAACTCAAGGCCTGAGAGCCAAATATGGCTGGCCCTTGTAAACAATATGTTTTAAATGCAAGCTATTTTTTAATCACCTCCAGTTTTGCTTTACAAACTGATTGTACTTTATTTCTTCTAAAGTCTGGATGCTCTCTTGTTTGGTAGTAGCCTTTTAAATGGTGCTGAACAGGTGTTGATTCAGAACAGGTGTATAAAGTTGAAACCAGATATTTACATACACTAACTAAATTAAAACATAACTGTTTTAATCTCACTGCCTAACACTTAACTAGACTAAACTTTTTCTGTTTTAGGTCAGTTATTCCAAAATATTTATATTCACTAAATGTATGAATAATGTGATATATATATTTTTTTTTGGGGAGAATATTTCCTTTCTTTCCTCAAGATTACTATCCATCCATCCATCCATCCATCCATAATCTTTACACGCTTCTTCATTTTTGGGTCACGGGGGTCATTGGTGCCCATGTCCATCAGTCACTGTGTGAGAGGCAGGACACCCTGGACAAGTCTCCAGTCCATCACAGGGACACATAGAGACAAACGAGACAAACAGCCATTCGCTCTCTCACTCACACCCAAAGACAATTTAGAGTTACCAATCAGCCTAACATGCATGTTTTTGGTCTGTGGGAGGAAACTGGAGTACCCGGAGAAAACCCACACACATGGAGAGAACATGCAAACTCCACCCAGAAAGATCCCGGGCCGGGATTTGAACTGGAGTGACCTGCTTGCTGAGAGGCAGCAGCTCTACCAACTATGCCACCGTGCTGCCTAGATTATTATGGGAAGTCCCAGATGATGATGTCATGGCTTTGACAGCTTTTGATAGGTCAGCTGCAACATCTGAGTTGATTGGTGCACACGTGAACGCATTTTGATGCACACCTCAAACACGCTGCTTCTTGTGTGACATCATGAGAAAATCAAAAGACGTCATTCGAGAAATCAGGAAGAGAATTATTAACTTTGGTTCATTTTCCAGATGTCTGAAAGTCCCACATTCATCTGCTCAAACAATTACATGCAAGAATAAACAGGATGGGGATGTCCTGACATCAAACCAGTTAGCAAAGAGATGGGTTCTGTGTGTACAAGGATTGTATGTTAATTTTTTGTTTATCAGGGACAATGCAGGTGATTTCAAACCATTCCTCCCCAATTTTATTTAATGGAACATTAGCATTTTGTGAAAATGCATACTTGAAATCAAAATAAAAATCAGCGCTATCGTATTTTTCGGACTGTAAGGCGCATTTAAAATCCTTTAATTTTCTCAAAAATCAACAGTGAGCCTTATAATCCGGTGCACCTTATTGGGCTTACTGACCTCGAACTGATTTTATGTGGTAGACAGCTATCTGTCAAAATGTTTTAGTTTTGTTTAATGCACCTTATAGCCCCAAAAAATATGGTAATTGGCAACAGAATGGAAAAAAACACTAAAGGGGTGATTTTTTTTTTACATATGTGAGTGTCATCTGCAGCTTCAGCATATAAACATCAGTTTTGTTTCTCAGAAACTCGTGTTGTCTCTAGAAACGGTTGCTCAGCGTGTTCCTGCTGCTTGTCCATCAGTCTGTCCCATTCTCATTTCAGTCACATGCTTCATACAAGCCTGTGCCCATATTATGACACAAGCAAGGACGGACTGAGAGACACGTTAGACAAGAAAATGGAGATCACCAAATCCATCTTCCACTTTTAATCAAGGCTTGTTGATGAACTGTGTCCATGAGTCATTTTTTTCATGACCATTGCTTCCTGTCCCATCTGTCCATGTCCCTTTCCCTCTTTTTTCCATCTTTCTTTGTCTGCCCATCAGAGTCCAGTCTTCACTTTCAGCCAAACGGAGGTCAACTCCAACTCCACGTCCTCCTCCAAAGACTCCAAACCAGGAAATGGCACAACCCCCCGGCCCACCCGGCCAACGCCCGACCCAAAAACACAAACCTTGCCCTCCAAGGGTCCCGCTGACCGGCCCCAGCTCCACTCCATGAAGTCACTGCCTCTCCAGACACCCCGCTCTCCCTCCCCCTCTCCCTCCCCCGTCCTGTCTCCCATCCCACGCTTTTTCAACTTCCCCTCACCGTCCATCTTCAGGTCCAAGAATGTCCACTCGTCCTCTAACTCGCCTGCCACCCCTCCCCCTGTGTCACAGGTCACGCCGCAGGGCTCACCGCTGCCCACACCGCTCGGCACGCCTGTGCATCAAATACAACACCCTTCCTCCACCACCCCACCCTCCTCTTCGTCATCCTCTTCCAGAGCGGACGGAAGCAGCGGGGCCTCAAATTCGCTGACCCCGCCCTCTAGCCCAGGTGGGAGTGGTGGTTTGGCTTCCTCGAGCTCCACCCACTGGAGGACGAGGCTTAACTCTTTCAAAAACAACCTGCTGGGCTCCCCACGCTTTCATCGGCGCAAGCTACAAGGTGACTCAAGCTTTTCAAAGAAACAAAACAAATTTGAAAATTGTAAAATTGCATCATTTGAAGGGATGCATATCTCATGTCAATTTTAAACTAAAACCATCTTAGGATAAAAAAGGATAGAGTTATAAACATTGTGAATGACATTTGTAATCTAAGGTGATAGTGAAAGAACTTGGGAAATGTATTAGTAGTATTTGTTGTTAATGTCCCTTAGCTGCTACCTCCTCAAACTTTACCTCGATTTCTGTAAAACCAAGTTATCCACCTTATTCCTCACCACCATGCTGACTTGCGTGAATTATGGGCGCGACTTCCGGTGCAGACCAGAACCGGCGTTTGTTTATGTGCAAACAGTACGAGCTAATGTAGTTTCTCTGAGCATTGTGGATTTAATTTAAACATGTAGGAACACCACCTGTCAGAGCTCCAACAGAACAAGATAACCATACAAGGGATGGAGAACGAGCTGAGGAAGTGGCTGCAGATCACAGCTACTAGCATCTTTAGCTACATCTACTAGCATCTTTAGCTACATCTACTAGCATATTTAGTTACATCCACTAGGATATTTAGCTACATCTAGCATATTTAGCTACATCTAGTAGCATATTTAGCTACATCTACTAGCATATTTAGCTACATCTACTAGCATCTTTAGCTACATCTTCTAGCATCTTTAGTTACATCTAGCATCTTTAGCTACATCTCCTAGCATATTTAGCAACATCTAGCATCTTTAGCTAAATCTACTAGCATATTTAGCAACATCTAGCATCTTTAGCTAAATCTACTAGCATATTTAGCAACATCTAGCATATTTAGCTACATCTACTAGCATATTTAGCTACATCTATTAGCATATTTAGCTACATCTACTAGCATCTTTAGCTACATCTTCTAGCATCTTTAGCTACATCTAGCATCTTTAGCTAAATCTACTAGCATATTTAGCAACATCTAGCATCTTTAGTTGCATCTACTAGCATATTTAGCAACATCTAGCACCTTAAGCTAAATCTACTAGCATATTTAGCTACATCTAGCATATTTAGCTACATCGACTAGCATATTTAGCTACATCTATTAGCATATTTAGCTACATCTAGCATATTTAGCTACATCTATTAGCATATTTAGCTACATCTAGCATATTTAGCTACATCTACTAGCATCTTTAGCTACATCTACTAGCATATTTAGCTACTTCATTGACTCAGTTCTTCTGACGGTGAAGCGCTGAACAACCTGAAAAGCTCTGAGGTGTATCAGTATCTACACAGTAATAAGGTCAGTGGTGTTTTGTTAAAAGAGGTGGGACACAATCTTATTGACCTTGAAACAGACACAGAGCCCAGTCAAAGCCTTAAAGTCCTCCATCACAGAGCTGCGGTTAATTACAGAGAAAATCATAAAACTGAAGACGAACAAATACAACAATGCTGTGACCTCCATACACTAGAAATCATACCTGACGTTCTCGTCACTGTCTTCAATCCTTCTGAGGATCCGGCGTCTCTTCTCTGGTGGTTTATTGTAGTCCAGACACAAAGTAGGAAGCAGGTTTCCTCCATACAGAGTTGTGGGTGGTCTCTTCAAGTTCACATTTTTCAGCCACGTTCTTCTTAACTCCTCATCTGTAGGTAGGAGATGGAAACTAAACCATGTTTCACAGGAACACTTTGTTTTGGGTCCATGTTCCAAACTCTTGTTGTAGCCACTGATTTAGTTTGGTCTGGTTGTTCTGCAGCTGTGAACACAACAGGTACCTGAACTCAGCACGGCTATTTTAGTCAACTTTATGGTTGTTAAATAAATATGAACAAAACAAAAACAGAGTTTTATCTGCTAAACTGAATACAAATTACTTTCAAATAAACCACTGTCTGTGCTCTGCTACCGTGGTTAACCAATGCTTACTACTACTTCCTGTCTGACAGGAAGTCGTGCACATAATCATGTAGAGACTCCAGGAATAAGGTGGATATTTATAGTGTTAGCTTCAGAGGTAATAAATTAAGCATCAAAAATTGATTATGTTTGATCATTTTGACCCTTATGTTGTGCATAAGAACTAATACAAACAAATGTTTTAGCCTTGATTCTTTGTGTTTAGTCTCCACTACATCTGATGTTTGACTTTGTCCCAGAATGCATTGCATCGATAAAATAATGGCAATGTCCTTAGGTGAAAAATGTAATAAACAACTGTATTTTTTTAAGTAATTAAGAGTTTTCATGTGTCACAAACATACATTTTTAGTAGAATAAAGATATAACATATTAAGGCTACTATGTACAAGTATGAGAACCCTTTAAATGTCCTGCATAGAGTTATAACCAGATTATTTTTGAAGAAAGAGCATGTGTTCCAGCCTACAGCGTGTTAATTGATGTCTGATCTGCTGTCAGAGCAACTGAATTAGAGTATGTCCTCAAGATTTACTGGCTTATTCTTATTACTCTTCCTTTCTTTCTTCTGTTCTGTCTGTAGTACCTACATCAGAGGACATGTCCAGCCTGACTCCAGAGTCCAGTCCAGAGTACGTACACATGTCTGTAAAACTGGGTTTAGCCCTTTTCCTCAGTGTGCCTCTCACAGCTAAAGCACAGAGAGCGTGCACATCCAGACTCTCAATGACTTCGTAGTGTCTGAGCTCAGATTTTTTTTCCCAAACTGAAAGTTGAGGAATTTTACAGAAAACTTTGTAGACATGGAAATTTGATGTGACAGCCTGAGGCCTCATGTATCAACGGTGCGTAAGCACAAAAAGGTTGCGTGCGCCCGGTTCCACGCATGTCGGGATGCATCAAAATTAGCTTTGCGTGAAGGTGTGCGTAAATTCATGCACATTTTTGACCTGTCGTGAGAATGTGCTTTCCTCCGTGCAAACCTTTTCAGTCCACAGTATCAAACTGTGAAACTCTAGTTTTCTGAACTCAAGGAGATTTTAAACACGACGTTTACCATTAGTTTAAGCATTTATGGTTTAAATCTGAACCAGGATACTGAACCACATTCAAAGAGCCCCACACAAGTTCCATTATTAATCACAATTAGCTGTAAACACACGTCGGTGGGCTCTTGCCTGTGAGGTGCACAGGTAATGAGGAGCGTTAAATGTGTGACTCGTCTAAGGGGCACGTCAGGTCTCACTGAGAAGAAAACGGTGTCAGATCAGCAGATTGATTCAGAACAACTCCCCCGTGATGATTCCTCAGATGGACATGGTGCAGACAATCACATATGTCCATAAATAGCTGCGTTAATTTGTGTGTAATTGTGGGACTGTGGCGCTGCAGGAGGCCATCGTCAACAGAAGAACTGGGAGGCAGCGTGTCTTTGGGGATCACACCGACCAAATACTGATCGAGTATTTCTCAGTCGTTCCTGAAATGTGCCACGCCCGCTGTTTGAGGCGGCCTCATCTACATGTTGATCATATGGGGGCAGCTGTGGCTGACTGGTTAGAGGGGTCGTCCTCCAATGGGAGAGTTGTGGGTACGATTCCACCAGCAGTCACATGCTGTGTCCCTGGGCAAGACACTGACCACCTCATTGCCTCCGATGTGTGTCCCATCGGTGTATGAATGTGATCCAAAGCTCTGATTAGTCTGTGTGCAGATGTAGTAGAGTGCTGTATGAATGTGTGTGGAGGTAAATGAGGCATAGATTGTTGTGTAAAGAGCTTTGAGTATCTTGATCAGATAGAAAGGTGCTATATAATTACAGTCCATTTATCATTTATGATGCCCAGGTGTAGTAAATTTCTCCACACCGCGGCTGAACCATTTCGTTGAAGCGCAGCGGCTCGTTTCTTCACATCAACGATTTTGAAGAATAATCACCTCCTGGGTGTCTGTGTTTACAGTAAATCATTTATTAAAGACATGCATAAAGTTGGAAATGCCTCCGCCTCCTACGTGCGTCGCCGGCTGATTTGCATCCCCTGGCTCACTCCATCCAATGAGAACCAGTGACAACACACACACTCTGTGCATGTGTGGGGCGAACATGTTTGTACACCTCACCACTTGTTTAGGAGTGTCTATGACTCACATTCCAATCATTTTTTTTCCATAGTGCTTCATCCAGACAGTATTTTTACTTGAGAGCCCAACATGCAAAACATATTCTATTTAAGCAGAGGTGTGTCAGAGGAGGTGTGCAGAGTTACACGTTCGTTCAGAAGTATGCACGGTTTAATAAATCTAAATATTTCTTATTTATTTATTTATTTATTGCACTTTCCTCACTTTGTCCCTAAGCCAACTTTCAGTATGGAAGCTGCCACTCTTTGATGCATGAGGCCCCAGATGTTTGTACCTCTTATAGTTCAGGAATGGGTTCAATACATAGTTCCCACACGCTCAACCGGTATTGCGTAATACCACTTTTCTGCCATTTTTGTAGGCAAGCGCTAGACAATGATCATGATGGCTTCCAGACAGACCAAAGCAAAGTACAGATTGATATTCTTGACCAATGTACAAGAGAAAGATGTATGCAGAAAGTTGGTGCTGTCAGAATCGAACCGTACGAGGTAAAGAAAGACATCATGTCAGATGACGTGGACAAGTTGCCACCGATCTCTTACTATGATATACAGGTGCTGGTCATAAAATTAGAATATCATGAAAAAGTTGATTTATTTCATAAAGTCCATTCAAAAAGTGAAACTTGTATATTATATTCATTCATTACACACAGACTGATATATTTCAAATGTTTATTTATTTTAATGTTGATGATTATAACTCACAACTAATGAAAACCCCAAATTCAGTATCTCAGTGAATTAGAATATTGTGAAAAGGTTCAATATTGAAGACACCTGGTGCCTCACTCTAATCAGCTAATCAACTCAAACGCCTACAAAGGCCTTTAAATGGTCTCTCAGTCTGGTTCTGCAGGCTACACAATCACTGCTGACTTGACAGTTGTCTTAAAGACGACCATTGACACTTTGCACAAGGAGGGAAAGACACAAAAGGAAAGAGGCTGGCTGTTCACAGAGCTCTGTGTCCAAGCACATTAATAGAGAGGCGAAGGGAAGGAAACGATGTGGTAAAAAATAAGCGTACAAGCTATAGGGATAACTGCACCTTGGAGCAGATTGTGAAACAAAACCCATTCCAAAACGTGGGGGAGATTCACAAAGAGTGGATTGCAGCTGGAGTTAGTGCGTCAAGAACCACCACACACAGACAAGGGTTTCAGCTGCCACATTCCTTGTGTCAAGCCACTCTTGAACAAGAGGCAGCGTCAGAAGCGTCTTACCTGGGACTGCTGCTGAGTGGTCCAAAGTTATGTTCTCTGATGAAAGTTAATTTTGCATTTCCTTTGGAAATCAAGGTCCCAGAGTCTATTGGTCTTAAGTAATGTTTTAATTTTCTAAGATACTAAATTTAAGGTTTTCATTAGTTGTCAGTTATAATAATCAACATTAAAAGAAATAAACATTTTGAAATATATCAGTCTGTGTGTAATGAATGAATATAATACACAAGCATAGGCGTCGCAACCATTATATGTGAAGGGGACAAGTCCCCCCCACATTAAAAAAACATTCATTTGGACCCCCCATTTTACTATGAAACATTTGTTCAGGCGGCGCAGTTTCTCTTTCTTTGTGAATGAATCCATTCCACTTGATTAATAGGAGAATACTCAATCTAATACAACTCCACTCCATGTTTTCCTGGTTACCTCCAGGTTTCCTCCACCTCTACACACAGAGCAGAAACTGTGCAGCTGCTGAGTCTCCTGCTTCAGCAGAAAACACACACAGGTGCAGGAGATGGAGACACCTCTGTGTTACTCACTCGCCAGTTTAGCAGCTTAGTGCAGGCAGTTGTTGACTAGGGGGTTGATCATCAACATATATTCATGTTAGGATGCTTGAGTGCAGCGCTACGTCTGTAGCATGTTAGCTTAGCAGTAACTGTGACGCTGTGAGACGCTGCAGGTGTAAGAGACGCTGTGTGTTGAGGTGCATTACAGTTGAAATGTCTTTAAAACCCCACACCTTATTGTCCTCAAGCTTCATGAGAAACATCATTTAGATGAGTCGTGTTGAACACAAGTAAAAAAGTCCAGTGGTGATGTTTTTTATTTCTCTACAAAGACAAATAGTGCCGACCTGACGCTCTGTATTAAAGTTAAAATTACTTTAAACCCACAGCTGAATTTACACAAACTTGGCGAGAAACATGTTTTAAATGTGTGGAATTAAAGGAAATCTAGGTGAAATGCTGCTTTTTTTGTACATTAGTGCACATTTCTTTTGCGCACACACGCGCGTGCACACACCTACACACATCGTTGTGTCCCCCACACATTACGGATGCTTCTGACACCCATGTATTCAAGTTTCACTTTTTGAATGGAATTACTGAAATAAATTAACTTTTTCATGATATTCTAATTTTATAGTTGTAGTTAATTATTTGTAGTTAATTATTTAATGAACACGAGGAGTCACTACACAACGGAGGAGCTTCACAGCCTGACAGTAATGTCCGTGTGCTGCTGCCATTCTTGACCTGGTCTTTCTTTAAAAAGGGACTTTTAAGTCTCAGTCAGATCTAACTGGTTAAATAAAGGTTTAAACAAAATGTTAACATGCATCCTAACAAAAAGAGCCCAGGCTCATCTTGGGGCTAGAACCAGGACATTGTTGACCTGAGTGTTACAGTGTGGATGTTTAGCTCATAGCATAGCTGACTAACTCAGATGTGCTAAATCATGAACAGTTCCAGCTCACATACAGTTATACTCTTACATTGTTTAGCAAAATGACTAATATATAAATTTTTGTTTACCGGAATAAAAGTGATTGAAGCAGATTCTTGATGTTTTTAAAGGCAGATCCTTGTGGTTGTTTCCATCCAGACTCCATGACGTTCTACGCTCAGCTCCTCTGTTTCCTTCACATTTCCTAATTTAGGATTAAGTGAAAGCTGAGCTTTGCTGAACCGTCTGCCTGGTTGGAACATTGTCTAACTCAACACGAAAAAAAACATTGTAATTTACTAAAAAAAATAAAAAAACCTCAACAAACTAACTCGGCTGTGTCTGCAGCTACTGCGTGCCTACAAAGATGGTGGTTAGTGACAAAGTGCCCGGATGTGTTACGTCAGGAGAACTGCGTATGTGCACGAGTCATGCTTTACTTTTACTAGAAGTGTTTTCACTGGGCGGTTGTTAGTGTGGAAACATGTAGGAGGTTGTCTTTACTCTTCCTTTATACTTTATATATCTAAATACTGACATTTTAGTGTGCTCGAATGTTTCCTGTGCATTTTGCAGACTGGCCAAGAAGTCGTGGTTTGGTAACTTCATCAGCCTGGAGAAAGAGGAGCAGATCTTTGTGCTGATCAGAGACAAGCCGCTCAGCTCCATCAAGGCAGACATCGTCCACGCCTTTCTCTCTGTGAGTGCAGTCAACGTGTGACCAGCCCTGTGCATACGATGCACCTTGCAGTGTTAATGGCCCTGATTGTGTGCTTCCATCTTTCACCTTTCCACAGATCCCAGCCCTCAGCCACAGTGTGGTTTCTCAGAATAGTTTCCGGGCAGAATACAAGTCCTCAGGAGGCCCCTCTGTCTTCCAGAAGCCTGTCAAGTTCCAAGTATTATTTATATGCATTTTTTATAACTCTGACAATTATCACAACACACTAGTGTGAAACTCGTGGAACTACTCTACAGAGTGTAACCAGCAGATGAAACAACTGCAGTTTTAATAAACTGTTAAATATACTGTTGATATTTACAACAGGATCTGAGTCCACTTTTAACCTAAAGAGTCACTTTACTTTTTAACTGTTTATTTATCCATCCATTACTTTTGCTCGTGTCTTCCTTTCCGGGTCATAGGGGTCATTTGTGTTCAGCAGTCACAGTGTGAGAGGCGGGGGACATCCTGGACAGGTCTCCAGTCCATCACAGGGACACATAGAGACAAACAACCATTCACTCTCTCTCACGCACCTAGAGACAATTTAGAGTTACCAATCAGTCTAACATGCATGTTTTTGGTCTGTGGGAGGAAACTGCAAGGATATAAAAAGGTAAATATACAAAGAATATCAAAGTATATATTTACCTAAGTGAAAATAAAATGAATAAAGAAGATTAAAAATAACAATAAATAAATAAAAATTAAAATACACTGTGTGTTCTATACATTCAAGAATGCACATATTGTATACATTAAACTTTTATTTTTTTTGTTATTTAAAATTTTTAATCTTCTTTATTCTTCTTATTTTCACTCAGGTGTACCGGTATATATACTTGGATATTCTTTGTATGTTTACCTTTTTATACCCTTGCATGGAGCAAGATCATGCAAACTCCACCCAGAAACATCTCAGGCCAGAATTCTTTTCTGCAACCTTCTCACTGAAAGGGACAGCCCTACCAACTGTGCTACATTAATTTATTAATTTATTTATTTATTTACTGACAGGTTTACTTACGTACTTACTAACTTACTTACTAACTTAATAACTTACTGACTTAAAGACTTACTTAATTACTTACTTAACTACTAACTTACTTTCTTACTTACTGAGTGACTGACTGACTTACTAAACTACTTAACTACTAATTACATTCTTAC